ATTTCCCCCTCTTTTTTCTAAAAATTTCGGATTTTGAGCTGAGCATAGCGTAATGTAGAGCAAAGTGTGGGCTACAAAATGAGACGTTTCCCAGTACTCCGCGACCTTTTTTACAAAAGTTATGCATTATTGAGGTTTTTTCTTCAAAGCCTCAATTTTTTAGTTTAACGTGAGAACAAGAACAAAACCATATTGCCAGAACAGCAAAAAAAAGTGCTTAGCACCTGTAATACTTTTGCCACCTTTACACTACCTCTATCATATTTGCAGATGTTGGCGCAAACTTTGAACATTTTTGAATGCTTGTTCATAATATATAAATGCAATTTCATACCGTTTCCACTTGCGAAAATCATACCTATATCCACTAGGTCACGAACAATCGATTTAGCATAATAACACATGAAACAGTAAGGGATATTGCCTGGAGGCATCACATATGTGGCTGCCAAAGAATCCATTGTATATTTTACTGCTAAATCATATTGTTCACTGATTGAGTAAGCTAACGCAAGATTTTCCATAATCGTACAGCGATTATAATCATTTTGTGATGTATGTTTCAGTAAATTTTCATTATATTCAGCACATTTTTCATAATCACCCATAAATAATAAAAACATACCAAAAAGTGATATCGCTCTTATTGAAAGCACCAGTCAGTATATTTATTTCACCATCAGTATTTTCTAAGTACTCAATATTGTTTGCGGCATCCATCGATACAATCCAAATATCTTCTTTATATGAAACATATATTTCGTATAGGCATGCACAATACATTATACTGGTTCCCAATAATATTCGTCACCAAATATATTGGCTTTTCCCAATATTATTGGGTATTGGGTTGCTTGAGTTCAGCCTACTTTTACAGTACAGACGCATGCTCTATATCTCGTTTTGAAGCACAATATAACCCAATCAGGCATGTACCGATTAATAATCGACGTTGGGGCATTTAGCAAAGTCGTTCTGCATCAGTTATAAATTAGCACTTAGCTGTCGATGGTTTCATTTTGTAGAAAAATGTTTGCTCTACCAAACTGAAGTGCTAGAAAAATTTTAAGATTATATATAGAGAAAATACGATACATCGAAAACGCACTAAAATCACAGAAAAACAATAGACAGTCGATTAGTGTTTTGCAATTTTGATCAGTTTTGGATGCTTATATTTCTATCACAGATAACACTAAAATTTAAAACAAGGCAGCTCTAAGTGCTTTTTTACAACTGATGTGGAACGACGTTGCTGAATGCCCTAACATCGATTATTAATTGGTGTATGTCTAATCCCAATCGCGATACATTTTTATATCCACGTTGAGATATATAGCTCGACGAGGTTATATATCCCGATTGGAATATGCTTCCTCACGTTTTTATGAGTATAAATGATATTAAGGTTAAAAGTAGGCATCCAGTGTATTGCGGAATCCAATATTACCGTACAATATTGTAATAATATTGGGATTCAATATTATTGGATACCCAATAATATTGTATAACATCTTCAATAGTGATTGGTATTGGTGCATGCGCAGAAACATCCATAATTGCATCTAAATTAAATAAAACTTCTACTTCATTAGGTATTGCACTTAATTTTGATATATAAGCATATATAATATTATGTGAATTTGTATCAATTTTAATGTCAAATAAAACTTTAGTAGCATATACTCGTGCAAGATCACGTTTTCGACTTGTGTGTAAAACATACTTCAGCGGACACGTATTTTTCAATTGAGTTTTCTGATTGATCTATGTCTTTTCTTGGTAAATTTATGCCAAGATAAACTACGAACGATCCAAATATATCTCAATGGAGCTCAATACTTTCATCATATGTCTGTTTTAAGCTTGTACAAAGGTCAGCCACAAAATATTGTAGTTTAAATAATGTAAATGTATCTACGTAGGATTCAAGCATTTCCTGAATGGAGTCGCCCCATAACTGGACCCAACCCCAATCTCGCTGGACCCAAGCAACACTCGACGAGCTCTACAGACTCCACATATTGGCCTCTAAAATTCATTACAGCAAACAAAAGCTCAACAAACGAAAATAACCCGAATCCTAACCTAAGCACCCATTCATTTTCAAAATCTTTCCTTGTTTCCTATCGCGATTCGCCCATTTGCTGGACCCAACTAGAACCCATCAAGCTCTACAAAATTCACCCTTCACTTTCCTTTCTTCGATCAATAGTTAATGAGAAAATCGCTAATTACTTTTCACGCTATACAAGCAATATATATATATACGTTGACGCGTCTGTGGGGTGTTTTGTTTTCTCCTGTGTGGTGTGTGATCTCATTTGCTTGATAGTTGTGAAGAAGACGCGGTCCGTCATATTGCTGTCATATTGATTTTGTTTGATAAGGATAGTGGATGATCCCGATGCCTTTGAATGTTGTGTATGTGTTGAGATGTATTTCGAATATAGAGAAGGAAAATCATTGGATGTCTAATGTATTATTCGTTCTCATTGGACCATTTCCATTCTCTTATTCTGTTGGTTGATCAAGAGCGAGAACATGTTTGGGATTTGGTCATATAGTATTAACTCATCGAATTTGTAAAGTGATACTATTGTCTGAACATATATTGATTGTACTGTTCGTGCGTGATTAACGGTAAAGTTTTGTGGGTCTAAATTTTTAAGTTTTATTTAGCTTTGTGAAAAATGACGAATTTTCGTTGCAAAAACGAAAAAAGTCGATTTGGGAACGAATCACCGTTAGCTATTGCTATCGCTCTCTCGGAGATCGCTCTGACAAATTGAAAAAAGAAACATGGAGGCTGAATGCGAAGACGTGTCAGGAAGATTCTGTTTGAAGTGAACTTATTGATCAGTTAAAGCTGGGCCAAAGTGAATATACGCGTCTTGCTCTTTACAATATTTGGTGTCGAGATCGAAAAGAAATTAAATTTCTCGTCGAAAAACAGAAAGCCGGAACAGGTAAGACTAAACACCACATGATCATCGACGGGATTATGGATTGCATAGTGTTGTGATTGTGGTTGAAGAATTCCCGTTGAAGGTGTGATCCATTGGCTTGCTAATGGTTTTAGATAAGCCAATCTTTGCCCTTTATGGATGACTTGTCTTCGTGAGGTCAGATTTGCTTTCGTTGTAGCACAGCCTTTCGTGATTCGATACTTTGAATTGGAATCAGGAGATGTTGGTTGGGAGTTTATCATCTGATTCACGAGAACTGGGTTAGATTTCGTTCTCTTCTCGGCATTTCTACGTTTTGTTTTTTCTTTCGCTTTTGTTCTTTTCATTTTTTTCCACAATTTGATCTGTTTTCTCAGTTTCCTCCTTGTTCGAGCTTTCTTAGATGAATTTTTAGATGCTCGTTTTTCAGGACATAATGGATCATGATCATCTTCTTCGACATCTTGTTGTAGTGCATCCTCCTCCGACATGGTATCATCATTGGAGTCATCTGCGGTGATTGTTGTTGAATCATTCTTCGCATCTTTTACTGATTTCGAATCTGAATTATGAACGTTGTTGAATACAGATAGAATTTGTTGCTTATTCATTTGTGAAACCTCTCCATTACGGCCTGCTACGCTTAATTTCCACAACGCTTCTACTGCATCAGATTTTCCACCATCGCTGAACTGAGTTCGTTTCACTGATACCGTTTTATCCTCCGGAGGTGATGATCGAGGATCAACAAATCGTGAGACACATGAGGATTTTGTAAATATGGAAGTAGGTGTATCCTCATTGCACCTCTTCCTTGTTAGTTTAAATGTTGATTGTTCGTATGTTGTCGAGGCAAATTTGAGGCTTTCTGCGATCTTTGTTTAGTTCGACAAACTGCTTCGATATGTCCGATCCGTCCACAATATGTACAACTTTTGTCCGAGAAGCAATAGTTTGTTGAATGTCCGATCCTTCCACATTTTGAACACGTAGGTACCGTTGATTGATTTCTTGGATCAGAATTTCTTTGTTGCCATCTGGGAACATTCTGTGAATTAGAGCTATTATGATTGTTGTTCTGTCCTGATTCCACCACTCCTGATTAATCTTATTAGTATCTGCATTATTCGTTGGAGATTTTTGTTGATTTACAGGTGACAAAAATGATGGCTGCTCTAGAGAACTGGTTGGTGGCAGCGTTTTCGACTCAATGGCAGCTACTACGGGTTCAGGATTAGTTGAACATCTTTTTGTTGTATATGAATAGATTTCTCGTTGTTCCTGATTTCTCGAAAACTTCATTGCCATGGAGGATTCTGCTAATTCGCCAGTTCTCTGTTGACCTCCTTTCTTCCGTTGAAGCATGTGTAATTCAACTTTAGCTGCTGTTCTCATCAGATCTGGCAACGCTAATTTATCAGCATCAACACCACCCATTAATTGAAGGATATCCGGACGTAGCTTCGGAAGAAGGTGCCTTTTGAGAGTTTTTTCTGAGATTTTAGGATCAATTTCTAATGCTAGTCCCTTATACCTCTGATAGAAATCTGCTACTGATTCATCTGACTGCTGCATGCAACGATTTCTTTCGATTTTCAGAGCTTCCATTCGTTCGGGTGATTGAAACCGAGCTTGAAATAGTTTTACAAACTCATACCAGATGGCTGGATGTTCATCACTTTGCACTAATTGTTGATACCATTCAGCAGCAGCTTTGGGATTAAGATTTATTTCATCCCAAATTCCAGAGGAACATTCATCAATTGTTTGAGTGCATGAGTGTTTATTTGATGTAGACGAACTGAAATGCTTTAGAGTTGCATTCTCCTCCTGAAGGCGACCAACTTTTGATTTTTCTTGTTTAAGTTCATGTTGCAATTGACGAACTTGTTCTATCAACAAAGTTGTATGTGATGTCATTGACACGGTCTGAGTCGTGGTTCCGATGGTAGTAATGGATCATTTATTGTTTTTCTATATGAATTTGTTGATGATGGATGTTGTTGAAATGATACATGTTGTGAATCCACCATCGTAGGACAATATTCCTGATGTTGTTCTAGGGCAGCTCTGGATGACGAGGTTGAAGCAGAAAGTGCCATACCAGCTCCTGGCGCGATTAATTGTTGAGTGTTCAATGTCAGAGCTTGCAGATGACCAGGAAGCTGTGATACAGATGCTGCGGCAGCAGGAACGACGGTGGCAACTGTTGAAGCAGTGAATGCCGCAGGTGCGGATGTGGATATATCTGAGTTAGACCAGGCTTCACAGCGGTTTTGCTCTGATTTACTGCGGATAGGAAGCAGTTGTTGTTGAGAAAAACTATTTAATACTTTTTGAACTTCCTCTTTAGCTTCAAGAGTCTTAGCAGCAGCTTTAGATTTTGTGGACTCGGACATCGTACTTTGAGATTCTGGACGATTTCTTCTCCAACGAGGACAACAGCGAAGGAACGTCTTGTCTTAACAGAATTATTTATATACTTGCTATAGAATTCCTATTGTTCTTTTCTTTTTCTTTTTTTTTTCTTTTTTTTTTTTCAATATTGTACAATATATTACAAGCAACAATTAACGGATATGGATGAAAGTGAGGTGATGTTGTATGTTGATATGTGTTGTGTGTGTTGTTCGTACATATTGAGCACCAAAAATTTATCAGAGTTCTTGAGAGTGAGAAGAGCGGATTAATTATTTATAAATCTTCCCGGGTCACGGCACCAATTTGTAAGCGCTGTACGTATTCAAACGCTGTACAACTTCGCTCAGTCAAGTTTGAATTTAGAATTTTTAATATTTTATTTTTCTCAAGAATTTGACAAGTTGAAAAAGTTAAAGAAAGAAAACTAAATAATAATTAGGTCTGAACTAGACCACAAAAAATGTACATAATGATCGAAAATAAAAGTTGGTTACAAGTTAACTTTTTGTAACTAAAGAAACAATTATCAATAATGGAAATTAAATTATAACAATTATTGTTTTCGTACCGGAAAACAATAACGGTCAATAATTTCGATCTGAATCTTTTCTCTAAATAATTTATGCACTTAAAGTACGAAAGTTGAAATATAGGAAGGATGAGAGTGATGGATGTTTTCTATACAGGGAGTACAGCCATTCGGAGTATAGCAACAACCACACTCTCATTTCCATGGAGCGCGTACACAAAAAGGTTCGGGACTGTATTACAAGTTGTTTCTAGTATTCATATAGTTACAAGCTCATTGATCCTTACAGACGGATTAAGATTTCCATGTATTTTCCGCAGTTTTCATGTAACGGGGCCTCCATGACCGTTACACCCCCCTAAGTATCAATTTTTTTAACCATTTTGTAGAGAAAATAAAACTGCACTTACCATAAAATTTTTATGGTTATAGAACGAATATTGATGGAGAAACAGCGATTTTTCTTTTCTGTGCATTTTTACGTATTTTATAGTATTTTTCGAAAACCTTGCCTGTGATCCCAGGACTATAGATCGTTGAAGGAAAAATCTATTCTAACCAAAAGATGCACCGTCAAATTCTGCGCGGACTGAGCGAAACAAAGTTTCCGTATTGCATCAAAACATTGATAGAAAAAAAATTTTCTACAAAAGATGAAAACAAAAAATACGCAGAAAAGAATTTTTTTTCTTGAGATCATTTGTAACATATTTTTTTTACGTTAGATTACAATAATTATGTCTATTCTATATACTGATGGATAGAGACTTTTATAGGCTACAAAACTATATATAAGCTTATCAGAAAATGACTTGATATAATGTACAATAGACAATAAACATCTACTCACACTAACCTGTTTTTTCGTTGCATCATTTCAAATTTTATACACAAGAAAGAGATAAGTTTTTCTTCAAATCTTTATAATTATAAATATTTTTTTCGACACAAATATTGTGAAGCGGACAAAAAACAAGTCGTTCTACATGGAACTAGAGATGGACTGTCGTGTATAACGTTGTCATTAATACGTAAGTTTAAATTTGATCACGAAGATACACTTACCTTATTCTTACCGCATTATACGTGCTCTTTGTGGCCCTCCGGAAAATAATGTGATTGTTTGTAGTTTATGGAAATCCGTGCAGTAATCAAGATCATATCATAATTAAGTTCATTTTATTTCGTTTTTCTGATAAAATCAGAAAATTACAAGTTGAAAGCACCAGCATCATAGTCTGTGATATCTAGTTGTGCTTTGATCGAATTTTTTCGATTTGATGATTTTCGTTGTATTCTTAGTTGTCGTTCTTCCTTATTTTTTTGGGACTTTTTCATATGTCTCGTATCTGTTACTAATAGATGTTTAAATAACGTCACATTAACAGATATTCCATGTTGTTTGTAAAACTCTATCAATGCACTTCGTCCATGGTTGAAGAAGATTGCTGCGAGAGCAGCAGTACCTCTTATAGATCGAAAACCATGAATTTTAGATTTCGATAAAATACTCCTACAAAGAGAATGAGCCGAGTGTTTTATATTCATCAGATGATAGGGAAAATTTAGAACTAATACCTACCACACAATAGAATTTAAAGATTCATTTGAGCTTTGCCTCATTCCACGCAAACAACGACGTAACAGTTGTCGAGATGTCAGTTTCTCGATCATAGGTTTCAAAACATTATAAAAAACCGGGTCTAGATAATTTTTTTATTCTACTTCATTCTCATATTATTTTTATTGTTGCTCCATAACTTGTTTTGTTGATATGAGCACCAAGTATCACTATTTTTAGGGCAAAACTTGTGTTGTTTGTCTTCGTCATAGTCATTCGTTTTTATGTAATGATAAAAAGCTGCTTTGCAATATTGTTGCATAATATCTAATGCTTCATTCACTGGCTTGCCCAAAACTGGAAATCAAAAACGTATTCAGTATCAATCTCTTTATCAAAACATAGTTCATTTATAATATTAGTTATATTTCTTACCACAAGACAATGAACTCGCTTGCCGAATCGCAATTTCATAGCTGGTCGATAATTTATCCATCATTGACGTTGTCATTCATCCAACACCATCACCCCATTTTTTATTGTCATCGAGTAGTTGTTGTTGTCTTGCTGGTTGTTTCTTAGATGATGATAATGATGTAGAACTTTTCATAGTTGTTGTAGTCGCTGGAATTCGTTGAGTCTTTTCTTGTTTCAATTTCGTTAAATGCTTCATTACTCTTTTCGTGACGTGATTAATGCAATCTTCTTTAATAACCAATAAATCTTCACCACCTGACTCTTCACCATCTGAACCTTCACCACTTGAATCTTTACTATCTACACTATGCATATCTTCATCACTGCCTAATATTTGCTGTTGTTCTTTATTAATATAATAATATTTTATTGCTTCATAAGCAGAACTATCACCATCACATAACATAGATCTATAACGTAGACCATTAGCTAATGAACGTTCAAATAATTTCATAGTGCCAATCTTCTCCATTGATTTAGATGTTCCATTGAAATTTTTCTGACAATATGGCTGATGTTTCTGGTACCATTTTTTGAATTGTTTACTGGATAATGTTGCTTTTCTAATGTTGCATTTTTCACATAGTAAGGATAAAACTTCATAATCGATACATTTTCCAGAATCAACATGTATCAAAAAGACAATTCCATAATTGGACACATGTCCTCGGCGCTTCCAAGTGCCGTCCAATGAAATAGTAACGTTCATTATTTGCTTTTGTTTTTTGTATTTATGTTTTAATTCACAAATAATTTGTTGAAATTTCTGTGCTGCAAAAAAATGTAATGCATCGTAATACTTATGTAATTGGTGTAAAAATGCTACTTCACTTGTTATTGATAAACCTAATGTTGACATAATACATTTAGTTGCATTATAACTAATTCCAGTTGTGGCAACAGCTATAACTAAAAGTGTATTAGGTTCCTGTTGAACCGATTTAACTGGATCTATTGATGCAAAATTAGTAACAGGTGTTTTTTTACCACAATTTGTACAACGTAAGGTGTTACAGTGACATAACCCTACAGAAGGTGATGTATCAGCTATAAATTCTAAACGTCCATTTTCTGAACACACATGTGCATTATTAAAAACTTGTTGGAAATGATCGATATCAAATATTTGTGTTGTTTTAAAGCTAATTGATTCTTCAGTTACACTAAACAGAATTTAAAAAATACATTACAACCTACTCATCAGTGTCTGTAAGTAAACAAAGGAAGCGTATGGTTTTGATACTTACCGTTTTAATGGTGGAAAAACCTTTGAAGGTTGTATTTGAGGTAAATCTATTTTCAACAATTTCTTTTGAAAAAGACGTTTTCTTTTTTTTTGCCCAAACTTTCCTCTTCTTGTTGAAGGTTTATATTTACATTTTGAAAATACAGACACATCCGTATTTCGAACATTAGAAGGAAGATTGGCAAGATGATTATTAATCAACGATGATCCACTACAAATGTAGCTTGCATCATCGTCGTCCATTGATAATAACTGTCAAATTATGTTATAAATAAAAATTTATTTATCAGATAGTTTGGTAAAATAAGAATATCAATCTAAAAAATTTTCCAAGCAAAAATTCTTTATTTATATCTTCAAAATGTGCTTTTGAAGCAGCCTTGAACAAATCCTCTTTATAGCGTCTTTTCAATACATAAAAGTACTTCCAACAAATGTCATCATTTCAATAAAATATACTCAACGCACAACGTACTCAACGAACGGAATGAGCTGATAGCCAATCAATGAATACAACAAAAGCGACCTCTATTTGAGATGTTCCAGATATCATTGAGTAATTATAATGAGATCTATCGTCATAACTGGACCAAACCCTTATAATCGATCTTAATCAAGTTTACACAATATTATCTGTATTATAATCACTTTGCTCTGTTATAATCATGCTTTTTCTATTAAACTTTTTTTTATTTTTTCTTCTAGCATTTTTCATCAATCGGTCCATGTAAAGTATTCATAGCAAAAAAGAAAGATCTAAAACAACCTGGGAAATTTTTATCAATGGGCTATGGTTTTGTTGAATTTAAATCAAAAACATTTGTTGATCAAGCATTAAAACGTTTACAAAACAGTGAATTGAATGGAAATAATTTAGAATTAAAACGATCTGAACGAACATTGAAACTAGCGTAAGATGCGTAGAGAAACGCAATTCTTGCTTTCTTGCAGGGAATCAATTATCAGCAAGAATGGGCAAGAAACGTAATTCTTGCTCTTTTTATCCAACTACCGAGGTGAACTTACACGCTCTAAACTTGGCATGGCCACGCTAGATTTTCCACGGCAGGACACGTTATGTGGCCGTGGGTGCGGCGAAGCCACGTCACGTGGCTTGCAAAAATTATTACAAGCTCGCCATGCCATGTGACTTGCTTTTCTGACTGCCCTAGAGAATGTCCAGTTTGCCTGATCAGACCACTGGTCAGTAAACTATAAGTAAATAAGTTCTTGTCGTGTTTTCTTGGTCAGGATTTGTTTTTTTTGCCTGACCAGTGAAAGAATCAAGAACAGGAGCTGCTTTTTGGATAGTCATCGCGCATTTAACTAATACCCCGGCGTTTAAAGTGACTATAGCTATAGCATTTCAGGTTTGATTACATCATGTTTTACTCGGACTTTTCTTCGAGAACATGATGTAAACAGTTTTTGAGGTTTTTATCACCCCCTGATCCGTTTAGGACCTCGCAATCTTTATCTGCAAATGAAAAAAGGCATGCTTTTACGGAACTTATACATCAAAGACAAAGGATTCAGTGCGAGTACACAGCAATTTTGGCTCTCTAATGCAAACCCTTCTTACGGTTTCTTGCCATAATGTTGAACTATTTTCCATCTGTTTTAAGTTAATAATAAGCTCTGAGACTTCCAGTTAAGAAATTTTCTATCTTGGATGAAGTTTTCTATTCCGCTTCATGTGTTTCTCAATTATGGCTCGACATATAACGGGCATTTGATCTCAAAATAAAGGTAAGAGTAGTTGATGTTTTATGGTTCGCCTGTGAATAAAATCAATAAGGTAACGTTTGCCGCATGCGAAGAAAACATTCACGCTTGAACTTTCAGAGAATGTATACCCGTAGATATTATCGCTAAGATCAGTTCGTTATTAGAGCCAATCTAATATTCTATGAATGAGGCGGAATGGCTGAGCCCCAATCCTCTGTGCATCAAACAGAACCGAACCGAACCGAGAGCCACTAACAGCAAAGCGATCTTACACCGAAGGTACTCACAATCACTATAAAAAACATCAACTTTTAATGCATTTTTATTTTGAGGTCTTTGCACAGTCTATACGTTTAATTGAGCCTATACATCAAAGAAGTACTCATATCTGATGCACACTTCTTGAAAAAGGCCCATTTCTGATATCCAAGATAGCTAAAGGAAGACTGTTCAGCTTTGCGATAATAAGCGTGGCAGGGATTTAAGTATCTCTACTCTCTCACTCACTGAAACTGCTGTACACTTCCCCTGTGAATTAATTACTTTTTTTTATATACCTGTACGTTGAAAAAGTCAAAAAATGCAGATATAAACTGCAAAAAGTATATAAATAGCTTACACTCCATGTGAAGATAATAAGAAGTGTCGTGGATATACGAACACTTTTTTATATGTCTGTTTTAGAATGAAAATATTGAAAACATATCTTCAATCACGCACGTGTCTGCCGTATAGTTTATACAAAATGTGGACTACGTAAACTAGAAGAGAATTATCTACAAGTAGCGTTCATCATTCTGATTCACTTATCCCTTGACTGGAAAGGAATCACCAATATGAAATTATTTCTATAGAATATTATAATTGTCTTTCTCGTCCACATTACATTGAGAGCTGCGCGATTACGATTACAAAATGTAAAGTTCAAACATTGCTGCTATTCCTAGAATTTTACAATTCTGAACTTTACATGTTCGGTGAACTTAGAATTCTTACATACATTGTAAAGTTGCACACGCA